GCTCCTTCTGGCAATAGTATCTGCTTGTCCTGGTGGTAGCTGCCCATAGCAATATAACCCAGTCAGGTATAATAACTTAGCTGCCTGTCCTGATATTGTCCCTCCCAGTAGTAGTTAACACGCCACGAGGTTTATGGGATTCTAAAGGAATTTTTTAATTGAATTTATTGGGGTTACATTGGTTAATAAAATTATATAGGCTGTGAGACTTGGCCAAGGATCTAAATGATTTAATCCAGTTTTAGCAAAAGGCTTTTACAGTGAGCAGTTAAGGCAGTTAAGAAATTAATCACTAATGAGTCATTAACCCTGCCCACTATTGTGCAGTTAGAGGTCAGATCATTAGAGCCAGTTCCCAATTAAGAGGACGACATTGGCACTGCTAACCCCCCGACCCCCACCCCATTTGGCGCGGCAGAGCCTCCCCTTTCCCAGGCGGTTTAGGACGCAGCCTGAGCTCCCAGGCGGGGCGGGGCAGATTCTGGCTTCCGAGCAGAGAAAATGCCAAATTCTCTTTCTTATTATCTTCCCTAAGTCTTTTCCTGCCAGCTTCCTGGTCCTGTGGCTGGGGCTGGAAAAGTGTGTGTGTGTGTGTGTGTGTGTGTGTGTGTGTGTGTGTGTGTGTGTGTGTTGGGGGTGGTGGTGGGGAACAGGCATTGACAGCACCTCAAATGCTAAAGTCCTAGGCGGGGCTGGGTCCACACCCTGACGTCCCTGTCTTACTCTGCCCGAAGGAGGGACCCGGACCCTCGGAAGCGGAATCTCTCCTGTCCCCGCTTCCCTCACGCGGCTTCTCTGAGGTCTTCGCGAAGACTGTCCATTCACCGATGCGTCTGGGGGCGAGAGGCCAGGATCCGGACTCCCTCTCTCCACTCGCGGGGGGTCCAGGTTCACTAGGGCGGGGCGGGGGCGGGCAGGGTTGTCCCCCCTGGTTTGATCACCCTTCCACTTGCACGCAGGGGTTCCGAGAGCGAGAACCCTCTGGTGGACGCCCAGCTTGGACCCGCCTGGAGCTGCGGCGCGGGACCCCGGACACCGGGTGAAGAGAGCGCCGAGGGCCTGGGCCGTCTGGGACCCCGCGGCTCTGGAGACAAGCGAGCGGGAGAGAGGAGCCCCCAGTCCTGGCGGTAGAGAGAGAAAGAAAAAAATCGCCCCCAGAGGCGGGGAGCCGCGGTGAGCAACACGGACAAGACACCCTGGTGACTAGGAAGAGGTTCCTCCGGGGGGGAAATCTCGAACCTGAAGCTCCCCCACCGCCGCGGGGATCACTGCTGGAGGCAGGGGCCGGGTGGCTGGCTCCGCACAGGCTGGGACCACAGGGTCAGCGGAAGGCCCCGGGGGAGCGCGGCGGACGGTCGGTCGGGGTGTGAGACCAGGGCTGCGCTGGCTCCGCCAGTCGGTCGCCAGCGGTCCGATTCGATGCGTCCTTCCCCGCGCGCCCCCTCGTTCTTAGCGCCCCGCCGGGTGTGCCGCCCCACAGGATCCCCAGGAGCCCCCAAAATAACCGTTCTTCTGACTCACCTGCTTGCCTCCCGAGGCCAGAGCAGACGTCATCTTCTGGGAAAGGGTCGCCAAGCCTCCCGCTAAGATGACTGGACTCCAGTCGGCCTGGATCAAGGCCCGCCTCCATCTGGGTCGCTGTGTCTTTCCTCTCCGAACCCCCCGTAAGGCCAGTCGCCACTGGTTCTGGTTCCCCTTCCGTGGGCCCTCAGGCTCACTGCGAAGACTCAACAACCATTTCCCAAGCGATGCGGGCTCCCTGGGGAGGCCCTTCCCCCGGAGTCCCGGGTGCCCGCCCCAAGTCAGAGCCAGCTCAGTCTAGTTTTGGAAGCCAGAGCCTCTGCAAGGTGATGTCTGTGGCCTTAAGTGTGAGTAGCGGCCCCAAGCACTGCAGGGTGGTCTGGGGGCTCTAAAGCTCCTTGCCAGGAGCCATTCTCACCTCCAGTCTGAGTGAAGGTCTGGCTTCCAGTCTCACATGCACCAGTTCCGAGGCGGCGGGCAGCAAGAATCTCCGATGTTAGAGCTGCCCTGCTAGGCCGCCCCTGGGGATGGGGCGGGGCGCTGAGACTGGGGTGTGGTCCAGCCTTCCACCAGAGGCCCAGGAAAGCACTCACAGCTCGCTCCCACCCACCGCTCGGGATCTCAGTTTCCAGGTGGTCTAAGGATCTGTTCTTGGGAACCGAAATAAGGCACTTATTCAGCAAAGTTTCCCGGGCGGGCACTATGAGGGAACGGACCCAGCTTGTAGTTGTTTTCAGCTCCAGAGATTACAAGGCTGCTATCTGGGGCAACCTCTCCGTGCCTCAGCTTCCTCCTTTATAAAACAGGGCTAATTGTATCTTCCTGGTAGGGTGGTTGTGAGTCTTCGATGAGTCAACAGATAGATGTAAACAGCTTAGAAGGCTGTTGGCACATAGTTTTCAGTGATCATTAACCTTCAGCAATTTTATTATCATTTCCTAAAGACTTGTCCCTGAAATCCAGTTGAAATGGCTCAAATTGTTGATACCTAAAGAGATGGTTTAGCAGAATATCCACTCTCAGTCTGAACTAAATAGTAAAGGAAGAGAAGGAGGTGGTGGGGAAAAAAATGTAGATTAAAAAAAACAACATAGAGCCCAGCCAGTGTAGCTCAGTGGTTGAGCCACACCTATGAACCAGGAGTCATGGTTTTATTTCAGGTTGGGGCACATACCCAGGGGTTGTGCAGGAAGCAGACAATCAATGATTCTCTCTCATCACTGATGTTTGTATCTCTCCCTCTCCTTTCCTCTCTGAAATCGAGGGGAAATATATATATTAAAAGAATATAAAGAAAAATGGCAGAGAGGAAACAAAATGAACAATTGTGGAAATAACCTAATAAAGTGAAGAAAATGCTGAGGTGGGGATGGGCCCAGGCTATGATAAGAATAATGAGGGCAGGCAGAGGGAGAGGGCAGTGAATTTGGGAGTTCTCTGAATAAATTATTCCTAGGTGTTAAGAATGAAGGAGGACAGACCAACTTGAAAGAAAGTTACGTATGCACTCATCGAGTTTACCTATTGTTTCTTGCCAAGAGCTGAGATCTCTTGGGCCACTTTATCCATTTCCCCAAGGAACATCTTTTGAGCGAAAGCGCAGGTATCCCTTCTTATATCTTGGGGGAAATAACCGATTAAATAAATGCTTAGTGACCAACCTACTGTGTGCAAGATACCAGAGGAAGAGCTTAGGATACACAGCCCTGTGAATGCCACAGCCTCTGGAACCCGGGCATGGCAAGGCCTGAATTCTGCAATGACACCCTCTACCCCAAGCCCGGAACAGCCAATCTTCCAAGGAGGTTTTAGGGAGCTCAGAGCAGCGCAGGGTTGCTGAGGGAATCAGAGAAACGGCCCACAACGGAGGGCTTCGTGCCAGGGTCATTGACAATTTATACAAAAGACTTACAGGTGATCTCATTCCATCTTTCCCACCTCCCAGAAGTGGGTTTCCTTCTGACTAGGAAAGGGCGGGAGACTGGGTGATAATTAACGTGCTAATCACCGAGGGGCGAGGGACGGTGGGCGGTTGATGCTAAGTCTCAGGCAACATCTTTCCGAGTGTAAGCCTACCTAGGGGACCCGCCGCCCAGCTTCCAGGGTCAATTTCGGATACCACAGCCTCTCAGCCTGGGAGTCCCGGGTCCTCCTTTACCCGAGAGAATCCGGGGAACTTCTGAAGCCCTGGAGACCTCCGGGCTTCTCTACCCCAGAGCCGGTGCAAAAGAACTGCAGATACTGTCCACAGTGCCCCGCGAGGACGTGCCTTCCCGTTGGGCACAGAGCGCTGCAGGACACATTCCCAGCGAGGATTAACGGAACCGCTGAGGGGGGTGAGGGTGCGGGGCGAGTTGGGGGAGGAAGAGAGAGAGAGAGAGAGAGAGAGAGAGAGAGAGAGAGAGAGAGAGAGAGAGAGAGAGAGAGAGAGACGCGGGGCTCAGGAAAGGGAAAGTCGCTCCTGGAATTCGGAATTCGGAAGATTGAGGTCATGGACCCTGGATACCAGGGCTGGCGCCTACCTGGTGACCTGGACAATGCTCTGAGAGAGGCCTTGGCCGCCGCGCACTGGGAAGAGGGAGGCCAAGCCGCCAGGGGCTTCAGTTCTTCCCCAGGGAAAGTGGTGCAGACGCTTCCAATTGGGGGGTCCTTCCTTCAAAGTAGCAGCCTCAGCCCGACTCTGGGGGTAGCACACAGGCAGCTGAGCCTTAGGCTCCAAACACCCCCCCCCCCCCCCCGCCCCGCATTCACACGCGCCCTGCCGCGTCAGGGAAGGGGCAGCTCTGGGCCCGGACCCCGCCGCGTTGGGAATAGGGCCACTGTCCGGGGTGGGGACACAGCGTCTGCTGAAGCACACCACTCCCGGAGGGTACCACGAGGCCCCCGATTCCTCGCACTCTTCCACTTTCCGTGACCCCCTTCCCCCATCTCCGGCCCACTCCACAGTCCCTCTCCCACGCCCATCCACACCCCACCCTCCTTCCACCACAGCAGTCCCGAGGGCGGTTAACTGGAATCAAACCAAATCAAATAAAGCTTTAATTTTCAATACTTCCTCAAGTACTTTGCAACTATTTATACAAACAATTCTTCAAACTCTATTTCTCCCCTTCTTTCCCCCCCCCCACCCCCATCCCTCCCAGTTGCGTTATCTGGGGTTGCCACGCCGCCAGGGACCCGCCAAGGTCAGGCGCTTTGGATGCCTAGGACAAGGCCGGGCCGCTTGCTTCTCCCCCTCCTGCAGCGAGGCTGGCGGGGTCTCTGGGGTTTGGGGTGGCTAAGGGGCCTCCGTCGGCCTGAGGGTCAGTCCTCCGGACTGAGTCTGGAACAGACGCGCACCCAAGCCCCAAGCCCGGCTGCAGCTTCAGGCTGCACGGGGAAGGAGTGGCCGTCGGGGGACCAGGGGGAAGGGGTGCAGGCTTGCGGCTCGTGGTCGGCTCCAGGAGGGTTTCCTGGCGCCCGGTTTGGTCCCCGCGCCCCTAGAGCGCCTGCCACGGCTTCGCGATGGCCTGGATGTGCTCCTTGGCCTTCAGGCGCAGCGCCGCGATGCTGCTGTTGCGCGGGTCCGCCTCGTCCAGCGGGAACTTGTCCCCGAAGCCCGGCCCGCAGGGGTAGGCGGGCGGCGGCGGCGCCAGGGGCTGCAGGCCGGGGCCCAGCGGCTGCGAGTTCAGGAAGGGCGGCGGCGGCGGCGTGTAGCTGGCGGGCAGGCTCTGCGCCGGCGGCCCGAAGCCCGGCAGGCTCTGCAGCGCCGTGGCGCCCCCGCCCGGCAGCGGCGGCCCGAGCCACGACTCCAACGGCAGGGCGCCCCCCGCCGGCCCCCCGCCGCCACCGCCGCCGCCGGAGCCCGCCCCGAGGGGCGCCAGAGCCGCCGAGGGAGGGGAGCGGCTAAAGGAGAGGAGGGGCGAGTCCTGCAGCTTCATGGACGACACCTCCAGCTTCTCCTGCCGGCGCCACTTGGCCCGTCGGTTCTGGAACCACACCTGCGGAAGGCGGCACAGCGGCCGGCCGTGGAGCTGCAGCCCGGCCAGCTCACTCCTCTCCAACCCCCCGGCCCCCGCCCCGCAAGTAAAACTGGGGCGCGACCATTTCGCACCTACTTCTTTCGCCCCACCTCTCTCTCTCTCTCTCTCTCTCTCTCTCTCTCTCTCTCTCTCTCTCTCTCTCACACACACACACACACACACACACACACACACATCCTCTCTCTCTTTATCCATCCTCTTCCTTGCTCCTTTTGGCTCTCCCTCCCTCCTCTCTTTTCTCTGGGTCTCCTTGTGCCACACTTGTCCCTGTTTGTCTCACCTATGGTTATGGTTGTATCTGTTTCCAAAAAAGTGCAATTAACCCTGGAATCAGACCGTGGGGCTTTTGAATCCAGATCGCACCCATTTCTGTGAACTGCTGTTTGGCAGCCCCTCCTGACACTGCGTTTTAGACTCTGCTTCCTCCCTGTGTTGCTCACCTCTCAGTAGCCCACCCCCTATCAGACTTTCTGTGCTTTACCTACCTTTGTCGCTGTTATAAATAGTATGTAAACCAAATACTTTAAGCACTGTAACTGGATGCTAAAATACAACCATTTCCACGAATAACTGGTGATGATAACTATTAGAAAAGTGTGAGTTAGTTTTATCCCAAATATATTTGAGTTGCTGCTTTGATAAGATTTTTCTTTTTAGTTAATTGATATTCATTTAGAATTTCTTACATTTCTTATAAATGACTTTTGATAATTATAATAGTTTATTATATATCTACTTTTACTTTATGGAGTTAGTTCTGATATTACCCTAAGATGAATTCAATAAGTTCAAGTCTTTTTTTTTCTTTTTCTTTACATATGGACAGTGCATGCCAGAGTGAAGTCTGGTCTCTTAACAATGAAACATCCATTCTTGAATTGATAAAACCACAAGAAAGGGTGCACTTAGGGTTTCACTACAGTTAGCATCCTCAGAAACAAACAATTCTTGGAGATCATTGGTCTAGCTTAGTGGAGTATCTAGAAAGAATTTTGGACAAACTGGTGGCTTCAGTGTTATATTTATGAAGGGACATGGGGGTAGATGTGACTTTAGATACTTTAGGGGGAGAAGCTGTTGTGAGTCCATAAGAGTGGGGAGGATACCTCCAGGGGAGCTGAGAAAAGAGCCACCAGCACTTGAGCCAAGTAAGGCTGGGATTGGGGGGGTGGGAGCGGTAATCGAAGGAAGAATAAAAAAATGTAAGTACTCTGCCCCTTCCCACAACACATTCACCTACATATCTGAGGTTCCCCAGAAAAGGAGATGCTTGCAGATAATTGAAAAAAGAGAAACACTGGCTTGGGTGACAGTTCCATCCTCCCGTCCCGTTTCTCAGGATGTCCTACTCCATCCCCCAAAAAATATCATCTATGGTGTTCAGATTGATCCTGTTTTGGAAGGCTAAAGGCCTGGAAAGTCAGCTCTTACACTGCTGCCTCAACACAGCTGGAGACCCTGCTGAGCATGCCCCCCCCCCCCATCTGAGTGCATCTTAGCCTGGCATTTAGCACCCACCAAACTCTGGACGCTGCTCTGGCCCTGTGGTCACAGAGAAGTCACAGACACTGTTCTCAAGAGGACAAGCCAGAGGACAAGTGAGGAGTGAGGAAGGAAAGTGGGACGGAGGCGCCTCAGGTATAAAGGCAGCCCCTGAGGGGCTGGCCTCTGTTCCGCAGGGGCACTGAAGGCTTTGCTCTCTGTTTTTCCATCTTTCACTGGATGCTTTTCCTCTTCCTAAGGCAGCCGCCACCCTGCACAGCAGGTGCTAATATGCCCACCGCTCCCACAAAACCATCACAGCCTCACTACACCCACTTAGGTGAAATTGAACTGTCCTTGCCACTTAATCCTGAGCCACATTAGGAAACTGTGTTTTAAAACCAGGACAACGACTCGTTACTTTAAACCCTCAAATTGAGCAGAATAGACGACAAGAGCTTGTCTTCCTTTTACTTTTAGACAAGCCTGAAAGCCCCAAACATACACACACACACACACACACACACACACACACACACCCTTTAGCTCCCCGGCCTCTCAGAGCAGTGAAACTTGTTCCCAGTGACTCCCTTCAGGCCTCTGTAAACTCTCCCAATTTGGAAATCCTCCCAGATTTTTCACAGATGACTAGCAAATATTTAAGGCTTTCAAATATTTTAATGATCGGGGATTAAAGATAATTCAGCTTTAATTAAAGCAAAAACCCCTTTACAACAAAAGGAAAAGGCCTCTGCAGGGGAGGGAAGCTTGGTTGGATGTGCACCAGAGAAGCAAAAGTCAGGTCTTTAAACAAATCCATGGAAAGTTTCAACTGCGCGGCGCCAGGCCCGTCGCAGGAAGACGGAGTTTTTGGTTTTAAACAGGGTAATTGCAGCTGGTAACTAGAGTGGCATTCGGGGTCCCAATCTGGGGACCCTCAGCCGCTGCCTACCTTCCCTCTCTCCTCAGTACTCACCCCTCCACACACACCCCACCCTGGCAGCGACTAAAGAGCTGTCCTTGCCCGCGGTTCCCAATTCCCCTCTTTAGCTCCCAAGGCGGAGACCGCAAAGGGGACGGAGAACCGCGAACTGGCACCGAGTGCCCCAAGGACGGCGCGGGGAGCACGGAAGAAGACTGTGACGTCCGTTTGGGGCTCTGGTCAGCCCAGCCGAGGAAGGACAACGGGAAAAGGGGCATCACAAATGCGTGGGCTCTGGGGAATTCAAGGGAGCATTGTCTGCAGCTTGGGCTCGGGCCCTCCCGGGGACGACCTGAGCGCTTTACCTGGACCCGGACCTCGGGGAGGTTGACCTTGCCCGCCAGCTCCTCGCGGCTGTACACGTCGGGGTAATGGGACTTCTCAAACGCTCGCTCCAGCTCGTGCAGCTGGTACGTGGTGAAGGTGGTGCGGTTCCTCCGGTGCTTCTTCTTCGGCGGCTCCTCCTCCGACAGCTTCGCGTTGCCCGTGGGTCCGACGGGCAGCCCTGGGCTCGGCCGCGCCTCCCCGGACTCCTTGGGGCAGTAAGGGCGGGAGCCTGGGGCGGCGGGGCCCCGAAAGGTCAGAGACACTCCAGTGAGCCTCTCTGGACCCACCCCGTCCACCCTTGGGCACTGGCCGCCAGTTGCGGGCTCCGAGATGACAGGGCGGGTGCAGAGTGGGGAGGAGGGTAGGGGAGGCCGGTCCGGGTGAGAGCTGTGAGGTGCCCGTAAGCTTTCTCTGAACTCAAATCGGAAGCCCGTGCACCCAGGTGCCTTGATAAAAATTAGGCCGGGCTCTCTGTCCCGCAGCGTTTCTAAGTCGGGGCTTCCTGGGCCTCGCAGCAGCCCGGGCGCGCACTCACCGCACTCACCTTCGTACTCCGGGGCGGGCGGTGGGCAGGGCGGGGCGCCCCCCGCGGGCGCCTTTGGGCAGGCGGCCCTCGCGCCCGGCCTCTGGTCTCGCTCCTTGGTGCCCCCGGCGCCTGGCTCCGCTGCGAAAGAGCCGAGGATCTCGTCGTCCTTGGTAAACCCCAGGATGGCCTCGATGCTGTGCAGCCGCGAGGTGCCCCCGCCCGGGCTGCGGAGCAGGTGGCCGGCGAGCGAGAAGCTGCCGTCGGCCATGGCTGGGGCGCAGCCGGGCAGGTGCATGGGGACAGCTGGAGGGAGGCGGGAGGGCGCGGCCCGCGCTCTCCGCGGCGCCGTCTGCACTGGAGACAGAGAAGAGGCTCGAAGACGATGCTTTTCCCTTCTGCGGCGTCCCACCCGATGGCTACAGACCCAAGGTTCAGCTCGGCGGGCAACGCCGCCGGCAGAGCTGTGCTCCCTGGAGGGGGACGGGCGCTCGGCCCGCGGCCGCCTGGGTCCCTGCAGGAGTCGAAGGTGCGACTCCCGGGAGCTGGGGCTTCGGGTCCTAAAGGCTGCGGGCCCACTCACCCCGGCTCCTCCCCTCTGGCTCCCGACCCAGTCACCCCCACCCTCGCCCCGCAGCGGGCAGATCCCCAGGCGGGGGCAGCACCTCTCATCTTCCTATTCCCTCAGGCACTCCGAACACACCCCCAGGCAAGCGGTGGGGGTCGACAGGCCGGAGACCCGGGTCTGGGGGTCGGCGCCCCCCGCCTCGCCTCAATGGGCCCGATGCCCTCGGTCTCACCTCTCGGGCTTCCCCGTTCTGGGACTCACCTTCCCCTTCACCTTTCCCCCCTCCCCCTCCATCTCCCCCTTCGCCTCCCCCTTCACCTCCCCCTTCACCTTCCTCACTCCCTAGGTTCCTGCCTGAGGGGGCTGAGCGCCCAGGGCGACCCTCGGAAAGGCTTCCTGGCTCCAGGGCATTGGAAGTCAGTCCGCCCTTCTTTTCAGTTTTAATCTACCCTCTCTGTCCCCTGTTGTACCCCCACGGCAATCCTTTTGGGACTCCGTAGTCCGATGCCCGGGCTTGGGATTTACTTAGTATATCTGTGTTAACTGCTCCTCTCCGACTGGCGCTTGGGCTCCCTCATCCGGCCCCGGCCCCGAGGAGGGGGGTGGGGGGCGGATGGGAGGGGGGATCTGCGCCCGCAGGCCCCGGACCTCCCAGCCCCTTGGCCAGCAGGAGCCTGGAAGGCCCCGACTCACCTCCCCACCCACCAATTCCCCAGGCAGAGGAGAGGACCCAACCTCAGGCTGGCTGGGGAAGGACCTTGAGGGGTGGGGGAGGCCTCCAGCTTCTCTGGGAGTTACAGGTATAACCGCTTGCATTTCTTCCCTTTGGGAGACCCCTCGAGGCTTCCGTGGCCCAGAGTGGCTCGGAGGTCAAGTGGAAAGATGATTTCTGGGGGAAGGGGGAAGAGGGGTGCTTTTTTTTTGTTGTCCACATCCTCAGTGCTCTGACCGCAGGCTGAGGCCAGACTCCACACAGACCCCAGCATTTGTGGAAATTAAATGCTTCCATTTGTGAAAAGCCTATGACTTTTAGGAAAGGACCTAGAGAGTCTTACAAATCTCTGCAGGTGCCTTGTCTCCACTCAGGGGCACCCGCGTTTGTTTATTCCCTTTGCATTCTTTCTGAGGGTCCAGCTCTGACGCAAGCCCTGTCAGCCCCACAAAGGAAAGGAAGGGCCAGAGCCCCTGGCCTTGAGGAGCCTAAGGCCCAGCCTGAGAGACAAAAGAAGAAACGAGATTAAAACGCCTATCTTTGGATCCTCCACCTTGAAATTGACCCGTGACTAAGCTAAGGATCCTTAAATGGGCAAATGGAGGGAAGTTGATGACATACATCGCTTTATATCTTTAAATACAAACATGAAAAGATAAGATAAAGAGCAAGCATGTGAGTTTGAAGCAGCCAGAAACTGATTCAAGTTCAATTATTTTTAATTTTAAAAAGATGATAAATTAATGAAAATCACTATGTGTTTTATAGTGCTTGCAGGTCACTAGACTTTTCAGAATCCTTTCACATTCTTCCTGTCATCGGATCCCCACAGCCCTGTGAGGTGAGCTGGACCTTGTATATATATATATATATATATATATATATATATATATATATATTTGTGCCCATTTTACAGAAGAGGAAACAGTCTCGAAGTGATAGGATACAGCTGTTGAGCAGAAGGGTCAGGACTAGAACTCAGACCTACTGACGCCTTGCCCAGTGTTTTCCAGCTGTGGCTCATCTGTAATTATTAAGGAAGGGGGTGATGTTTGGAAAGAATCACAGTTTAGCCTGAGGCGTCTTCCCAGAGACTGAATCCTAAGATCTACCTCAACATCTAAGACGCTGAGGTAGAAAAAAGTGAAGTCAGAACTCCTAGGCAGAGGAGCTGGAGTCCAGGCGGACCGAAGAGGATCCACCACAACCTGGTGAAGGAGCCCGCCCCGGGCTCTCCCGGGGGTGCCCAGGCTGTCAAAGGCACCGCCCCAAGTCAGCCCGCTGGCACCTCACAAGGTCCCATGTACCTTTACCGGAACAGGTGCTGGGATGCTGAGGCCGTGGTGACCAGAGGCAGCCTTAGGGATAATTAATTGGTATTTGCGGTTTCCCCTCTGACTGAGAACGCTTTTTATGTAAACTTGTTCCAATATTAAACTGATCTCTATAATCGCCGTTAAACAAAGATTGGCAGCGTTTCCTTAAGCTCCTGCCCACACGCTAAGGGGTTTAGCGCCTTGTTTTCCACGGTTAATTCCCTCTGGAACTGCCCAGCGCTCCCTAATAGGCCCAGGTGAGGTTGGCTTTTATTTACTGTTTATTTCAGAGGCTGGGGGGTGGGAGCAGAAAAGAAGGCGACAGCCACTAGTGAGGGATCAGGGGGGAAAACAGGGAGAAATGGGACAAGGGGAGGTTGGGGCTTCCTTTGTGAGCGACATAAAGAGCTAGTCAATACCATTGTGGGCATGGTGGAGGGTACTCCAAGCAATCAGCCGGGGGTCATTGTTAGGGGCTAATCTACATGTGTATTTCCCAAGAACTCGATTAGGGACGATGAATGGACTCTCGGCCCTGTCCCTAATTCTTCTAGCAATTTTCTGGCAGCTACGCCAGCTCCCAAGCAGCCCAGCTTCAGCAAAAGTAAGGAGCCTGGCTTCTGAACCCCACCTCTGTTTAATTCATTAATTCATTAGGTGGATCAAAGAAAACTCCCCCTCCCACCCACCCCACAGGGGCCAAAGTGAGACACAGCTAAAGCCCCTTTAAACCAGGCATAACTCAGAGAAACATTTCCAAAAGTGAGGGGAGTGGGGGGAGTGGAGTATGGGGTGTCTTAGGAGAGGGAGGCTCTGTGTACGTGGGAAGCACATTACAGACAATAGGAGTTGGGAGAGAGATGTTGGGGAGCAAGGGCATAGAGACTGGTGAGTCCTAACAAAACCAGATCTACATGCAAGCAGCAGTTCTGTGGAGGGGCAGCATAAAGAGGCTCCTTTCTCTCGGGGACATACAGGAGGGCCTGTTTTGGGAAGTATTCTAGGCAGACGGCTTCACCACAACACTCTTGAGAGAAAAGTGTGTCTATAGAGTTCCCTTAGCACTGGGTGGGGAGGGGGCATTCACAAAGTGGGTTCATGACATTTGGCCTCAGCCTCTAGGAATGTTCCCTTGAAGTGATGTTTCAGGTTTGGGGGGGAAAATGCCGATTTAAGGTCCTGTGGGCGATGGCCTCATAAAGTATATAAAACAAATAGATTGTCTGCCTGCGGGTCATAGCAGATGTGATTTCATCATGGAGTAACTCCACCTGTCTCATACCATCTTGTGGGACCATCACTTCCCACTAGTCCATGTTCATTCGGGAAGGCAACTAAACTGCAGTTTCAGCCAAAGCAAAGCATAACTCATATCATCATCATCATCATCATCACACACAAAAGCTATATTCTAGAGTTAAAAGTAATATTCCCCTAGCTGGTTTGGCTCAGTGGATAGAGCCCTGGCCCTGCGGACTGAAGAGTCCGTGGTTCAATTCTGGTCAAGGGCTCATTTCCCGGTTGCAGGCTTGATCCCCAGTAGGGATGTGCAAGAGGCAGCCGATCAATGATTCTCTCCTATCATTGGTGTTCTTCTTTCCCTCCCTTTTCCTTCCTCTCTGAAATATATTTAAAAATATATATTTATTAAAAATACAAAACAATATATAACAGCCCTGGCTGATGTGACTCGGTTGGATCATTGTTCTATTCACCTCAAGGTCTCGGGTTCAATTCTGGTCCAGGCACACACCTAGGTTGCGGATCCAATCCCTGGTCAGAGTACATATGGGAGGGGACCGGTCAATGTTTCTTCCTCACATTGATGTTTCTCTCACTTCCTCTGTCTCTAAAATCAATAAAAATAAATAAATATGCTTAAATCTGAGTTCACAATGATACACATAACATAAACTTAAAAAAAGAAAATATTCTTGAGGTGGTTATCAGATACACCATTTTTACAGATAGACAACTCATAATGCATATATCCTTGATGATATTCATTACTTTGGCACAAATGATAAGCTTCTCCTACACACTAGTTTATGAGTCAATATGAAAATCTGAATATTCTCAAGTATTTTCAGACTAAATTGAAGCAAGTGCTGATGTCAGGATATAATCCCATCATGTAATTGTGGCTAAAATAAATACAGGAAACAGGGAAGAGATGGGCCCATGAAGGCATTTCTGGCTGAACCGAGAGCCCTCTCGGATGTGTGTGTGGGAACAGACATTTCATAAGATCACAGAATGAAACCAGGGCAGTGGGGAGCTGCTGTGTTTCCAGGCAGTAATGCCTGTTTGAAAGACTTCCTTTAGTGTAAGAACGAGGGCCACAGCTCTCTGCAGACCAGCTGGTAATTAGCAAGACGTCTCTGCTTCTTTGGCATTCTCATTGTTTCCCAATTACAATATTTTTGGGAACAACATCATACAACTAATCTCGATTTAGTTTTCTGTTATTTCAGAGGAATCTTTCTAAGAGGATTCATAAGGGGGAAGTTTGTGGGCTCTCGCACCTCCAGCCCCCACCTTTCCTTTATAGATGTGGGAATGGGGGAACACAGAAGCGAAGGGATTTGCCCAAGATGAAACAGAACATCTGGGACAGGACTTGGGTTCCCCAACTCTCTATTAGGCCTCGGAGGTGTTACTATGCTGTGCTCAGCTGTCTGGACCCTACACTTGGGTGTCCC